GTCCTCTTTCCTGATGGAATTCGCATAGGACATTCGACCTCCTTGCACTAGGATCTGATTTCATTTTTTGTGGCCACTGCACCTTCGTCCCAGCTTCTCCAGTGCGTACACTATTTCTGAAGGGGAGACACAAAAGTTATGAGCGGATAATAATGGCGGCATACCTCTTTCATTCCGAAGCGGGGCGGCATATCGCTGCACGGCATCTGGATGTCTTGGAGGAGGCGGATTGGGAGTTCTGACGTAAGGCTGATGCCTTTCTCTATTGAAGCGTGGGAGTGGTTCCCGTCGCCCGTCGTTGCGTCGATCCCTCCTTACCTCTGATTGTACTGACGTTAGTCGTTGGGTTGGACCGTTAAGATCGTCTTCATCCGCTCTCACTTCGGCGCAATAGGCATTATGAATCTCTTCCCACGTGGTGGGGGGATACTTCATGAGTCGGTTGAGCAGCTTCTTGGTTGCTTTTGATCCGTCTCTGTTCAACCCATTTTGGAAAGCTGCGACCGCCATTCCTTCTGAAACGTTTGGCAGTCCCATTCTTACCCTGTTGAATCGGGCCAGGAAGTCCCTGAGTCCTTCACCTGTTGTTTGCCTGATGGCGAAGATATCGTTGACCCTAGCTTCGGCCTTCTTTGCTCCTGCATGAGTGGTGGCGAACTTGTCCTCCATCTCTTCGAACGTCGATATCGATCTGGTTGGCAGTTGAGAGTACCATGTTAGCGCTCCTCCTGTCACAGTTTCACCAAACTTTTTCAGCAACACGGATGGCACCTGTTCTTTCGATAGGTCATTACCTTTTACGGCGGTCACATAATGGATCAGATGGTCTTCCGGATCCGTGGTCCCATCGTACATTTTCAAGTACGGTGGCATCTTGAAGGTTTTAGGGATTGGGTGAGGAGAAGCTTCCTCACTATACGGTTGCTCGACGAACCTTCCCACATCGCGTTTCGGTAGTAGCTTAGGGGCACCAGGTATCTTGCCTACCCTTTCCTGGTGCTCCTTCATTTGATCACGAAGCGCTTTATTCTCGTTCTCCATTTCTTCCATTTTCTTAAGGATGGTTGCGAGCGCATCATCGCTTGCATTGGTATCGGTGTGGGCGTTATTTGTTCGTACAACACTGGACTCACCAGCGGCAGCGGCAATTTCTGCCATTGACGAATCTTTGATTTTCCTTGAGGTGGTTTCTCGAGCATGCTACTTAGAGTGTTCGTCAACCATTTCTCTAGTAGCTTTTTGACTACTGGGGGCATTTTCTTTGCTGCAGATGTAGAAGTCCCTCTTTCATGCAAAATCGTTAGATCTTTGAGTGAAGAAAGTGAGATCTCCCCCTCCGGTACACTACTTGGTATTACATTTGCGGTATTTTCTCTACCGGCTTCGTTGAGTGGGCCTATGAGGTTGGTTGAGACATCTGCTATCATCTTTAGCCTTGATTCTTTATCTGCCATTTGTTAGTTTCCATGAGGTCTGAAGAACAGTGATCGTTGTTTTTGATATCCTAGATGTGAACTATGATTTCGACTACCGAAATCCCCACAGACGGCGCCAAATTGTTTGACTCAAAAGTTGTTTAACACTTTTTAAGCAAATCAATCAATATAGATGAAGGGGTAAATTATAATCGAAGATAATAAATCCTAGGATGATCTTGGCAATTGGTTCAGACAACAATAATACAATTCGGAGAGAGAGAGAAGATGATAATCTTCGAGAGATAAGAGAGAGATAATGTTAGAGAGATGAGAGAGAGATAATGTTAGAGAGATGAGAGAGCCAGAGAGCTTGTATTTCCAATGAATGAATCCCCCACTTTACAAGGCTCGGACCCCCCTTTATATAATAGAGGATCCTTACTTAAATATTAAAAGACAGAAATAAAGTACATGTTATAGAGGAGCCGACGGGATCATGAAGTCGTCCCTCTTATTATTCCTAAGTCGTCCTTCTAGCCGGACTCACATATATTCGGTCGATCGTGCTGGCTTAGGGACGTGGTCGGTCAAATTCAACCCCATACACATATATTATCTACGTCTTCTGTCGCATGTGATCATTCAAAATTGCGTATTTATTATATAATTGGACATGTAACTTAACATTTTCATTTTCGCGAAAACTCATCTTGTGAAATGCTGAACCTTGGAGGTCCAAAAGTACAAATGTTCTATGAAACTTGTCTCTCACTTGAGTTTTGTTACATATATACAACAATAAAATATTAGTACAAAGAAAAAACTGTAATTTTCACTACCTACCACATTCTAACCGTCACATTCCAAGAAACAAACTAGTATGAGTTCTCATATTATAAGAGAGAGCAAAAAACAGTTGAAATTGTTGCGTGGGGATATCGTTTTTTAGTATATATACATACAAGTTACAACACAATACAACTACTAGGGTAACAATGGTTAGGTTTAGAGACAAGATACGAGCTTGGCGCTTACTGTGTCTGATTTTGGCAGTTGTTTTAAGGATGTCAGTACTCGTCTTCCATGATCTACTGTCCTTAATTATTCTTCATTTCCTTTAACTAAATTCAACCCCCCTTCCCCATCGTTTTTGTACACAAGAAAAACAATATACCACGTTCTCTCAATTATTTTTATACAGAACTCAAAAAAGTTTTCTTCGAGAAAATGATAAGTTTAGAATAGTCTTATGTTATGTCCTCTAAGTTAGCAAAAAGTGTGCACTTCTGGACTTCAACGTTTTACAAACTTAACTATTACTCCCTATGTTCCAATTTATGCGAACCTGTTTGATTGGGCACCGAGTTTAAGAAAAAATGAAGACTTTTAGAATTTGTGGTCCTAAACAACTCAAAAAGGGGTCCAGAGTATTTGTGTGGTTATAAAAGCTTCTCATTAAGGGTGGAATTGTAAGTTTAAGCTAAATTGTTACCAAATTTAGAAAGGGGTCATTCTTTTTGGTACTGTTAGACCTCCGCCAATTGAGCTCGACTTGACAACAAGAGTGTTGTCATGAGGCAGCAAGAGTGTTGCAAAGGCAGGTGCGCGAGTAGCACCACTGTCAAAAAGGGAAACGGGCAAGCGATGGCTAAGGCTTTGACGGAGGCGAGGCAGCTTGGCAAGGGCTTGATAATGAGTTGCGTGCTAAGGGTGACACTTGATCATGACTAAGGCATCAAGGCATGAGGCAGTGATGCCAAGGCAAGGCAAAAACGGATAGGCAAAGACAAGCAAATGTGCAATGGGAAGGCAGTGCGCGGGCAGATTTGTCATGGCAATGAGTTGCGGCAAACGAGCCAAGTTCGTGGGCGATGGCAAGGCAATTTGTGGCACAATGCAGCTGGATACAATGGCATTGGAGCTGGGCCAAGCCAAGGCACGAAATTGGGGCAGCAAGTCTCGTTGACAAGTCAAGGCGGTTACCGGCACATGCTGTGCACATGGGCAGCAGTTGCTTTGCCTAAAAGCTGGCAGGAGTTAGCACGTTTTTTGGGGGGCCATGATCCCCGATTTAC